TACAGTCATAAAGTAATCACCGCCAGTTCCTTCCTGACAACAATGGCCTTCTCAAGTCGTCTCGAGGTGGAAGTGCAGAGGTCACTTCTGTCGTCTTCTGTGTTTAGTGTGTCTCTGTCAGGCAAAGAATGGTGAAAATTTAAATTTGTTACAATAATTAAAGGGACAATGATCATTGTATTTTAGATAGTTCAAAAACATTTGCTTTTTAATGTTCTGGTCATGCCAGTTCCTACTTAAAAATTAAATATTGTTTGACTCCTTGGTGACTTTCTATTGCCAACTAAAAATTTCTTTTCCTTTATCATTTAAAAAATTCAAGCAGAAATTACTGTGGCTATCTTCCTCAGTATCTTGTTTTTTTTTTAAACCACTGAGTGACTTTAAGGAGAATTCTTTACATGTGCAAAAGGTCAGTCAGTATCGGAGCATAGTTAGTCAGCCAGGTTAGCCAGACTGAAATGAGGGAACCAGACTGCTAGAGTCCACTTTTCCATCTTCTTTGACCTTCAAATATAGATTGCAGTATATTCAGGCTATCAAAAATAGAAGAATTGTAGAGCTACATGGCAAGTTAAGAAGTTTGGTAAAGATGCACCTGGGCCACTATTTGTATAAACGGTATGGTATGAGCCCTTTCTACAGTGGGAAGTCAAATTCTAGGTATGCACATGTGAAGTAGGAGAGAAGCTTATTCTTAGAGGGGTCTTGCCGTGGAGTTGTTAAGAGCCTGAGTTGGATTCCCACTTCTACCGCATGTGTGTGGTATTGGGAGGTTATGTAACTTTTTGTGACCCAGTTTTTCCAACTGTAAAAAAGTCACGTAAAATTCCTTGAACAGTGCCTTGCATATTGTAACTGTATTGGTTACCTATTGACTTGTAACAGGTTATCCCCAAAACTTGATGACTTAAAACAACAAATATTTATCATCTCACAGTTTCTGTGAGTAGGCGTCAGGGTGCACTTGCGTGGGTGTCTCTGGCTCCAGGCCTTTTGTGAGGCTGTGGTCAAACACGTCTGAAGGACGGCCAAGCTCACTCACATGGAAACTAGCAGACCGAGGGGGCCCCTCACAGCCTGGTCGTCAGCTCCCCTCACAGTGACTAATCCAGAAGAAAATGCAAGAGGGAACCCACGATGGAAGCCACAGTCTTTTTGTAATCCAGTCTTGGCAATGACATCTCATTGCCTTTGCTGTACCCTGTTTGCTAGATGCAAGTCATGAACTTCAGTATGCACTCAAGGAGAGAGGACTACATTAGGGCATGAATACCAAGAGGTGGGGTCACTGGGAGCCATCTTGGAGGCTGCCTCTGACAACTCCTGCTTTAACTTACATCTACTACCCATGTGTCTGTGGACTCCAAACCTACACCCACCTATTTGATATCTCTGTAGGATGTGCAACAGGCATCTTAAACTTAACATGGAAAAATGGAGCTCCCAGATACTTACTTCTCCCCTAGTCTTCTCCAACTTGGTGAGTGGCAATCCTTTTTAGAGATGATAGCATCAAAAACGTGGAGGCATAGTTTTAATGCTCTTCTTTCTCTTCACCACTTGTCAACTTAACTTTGAAAATGCATCCAGCATCTTACCCAGCTCTCACTACCTCTTTCCCCTGGTGTCACCACTTTTGACCACGTTTTTTGCAAAATCGTGATGGGCTCTGTTTTCAACCTTGTCCAGGGCCATTCTTCACTCAGCAGGCAAAGCGATCCCCTAAACGCCAGGCAGGTTATTCTACTACTCCATTCAAAATTGCTTAGAGTCTGCTCATTTTACTTAAGAGTAAAAAGCCAGAGTCTTTACAACGGTTTAAAATATCTTTCATGATCATAAAATTATTTTTCTGTATTTTGTATAAAGTGATGTATATACGCAGTATAATAAATAATGTGTATGGTGGCATAAATACATATTCACATGTTTATTTATTTAATTTGTCAAGAATTTACTTTCTGAATTGGATAAGATAGCGATCTGAATCTTCCGAATGAGGAGCTGGTCTGCTCAGCACTGTGTGTTGAGTAGAACACTCCTCCCTCACTGGGGTGGGGCTCTGGAGCCCGTTCATCTTGTCCTGGGCAGCCTCTGCCTGCTGTTGGATTTTAGAGTAAAGATATACTTAATGGATCACATAAGATGCAGTGGTGTTTTTATGGATTTTATTTGATGTGATATACTAAAATATATATAAAAACAATTTGAATTTTATAATCGTCAATTATGGGAAATATTTTCCGTCCCTTTATTTGAGAGATAAAGAACTAATTCTTCTTAGTAGATTGTGACTTATATTTAAAAACCCAGTCAGATCTAAAACTAAAACTGAAACAGAAAATCTCACGATTTTTAATCCATTGTTTCTGACATATGCTGATATACTGTACTTTGCTGCTGCTGCTGCTGCTGCTTATAACTGTTCAGAAGGCTGTCACAGAAATGCTTATAAAATGTAAAAACCCTGTAAGGATATCATCTGGCGTGACATCCTTGCTTATATGGTTAACTTCCAGTGTTCAGGCCCATCTGCCAATGCAGCAGGCCCCTGGTGCTCTCGTCTCCTTTCTGGACCTTTGGTCTTATCTCTATTTATAGCTTCGACTGGCAGACAAGAATGGGTAGGCGAAGGAAAGTGAACTCAAGCCAGTTCGTTTTGTTGGTTCTGAGCACTGCTGCTGAAAACTTTGCCGAAGAAGGGAAGTATATTGAAATTCTTGCCTAAAATGAGGTGTGTAGAATTTTCAGTGGTTTCCGTTTGATAAAACGTTGTCTCATTTTTGTGGAACTATGTGTCATTGAGGGTCAGCTACAAATCACAAAATGAATCACTTCCAAGTCCTTCATCTCTACAGGCATTAGAATGGAAAATCTTGTCACTTAGATGAGTTCTTATTTTTTTTCCTCCTCCACAAATAGTGTAAGCCTCGCTCCTCTGGGCATCAAACTTTGGCAGCCAGTGAAGGGCCCTGAGCTAAAAATGGAGCCATTCTGCCTCTCCCAGATAGATTTTGCTCCACTTGGTGACAAGAATATAATCCAAAGATGAATTTCTTTCTTTAGGGCAAAAACAAAACAGAAGAAGAGATAAAGAGTTTTCAATATGATGCAGAAGTATTGTGCTTCTGGTTAACTTCTCAGACCAACGACACCTTCCATTCTGTTCAATGACATTATGTTCAGTAAGAGTCACTGAGCATAAGTGATTAAACCCAGAGTCTAGTCAAGGCACAGATTAATTTGCTGTGTGACTTCAAGAGGCCCATCAACCCCTCTGGGCCAGCAGCTTTATTTGCAGAAGAATTTTGGACTAGATGACAAAGACCCTTCCTATTCTAGAATACCAAAATAACAGGTAACATAGAAGAGAAATGTAGCTACTTATTTTTAGTAAAACAAGATTGATACCAGCCAATAAGTCATAGTGGGCTTGCTTAAATCCTCCTCCACTCTCCAAATTCTGTTTTTACCAAAATGGCAAACTAAAGACAGTTTATCGTGCTTTGAACTTCCTGGCTGATTTTGATTCTATCAATATGTTACTGTTACACATTTGAGCGGGAGCTGAGCTACTTTTCATGAGAAGTGCTCAGACAACTAATAAAATCGTTATAAGCCCCTCCCCCCACTTTCGGTGGGTATTGATAGCATCAAGGAACAAAAAAAGACTGCCATTTTCAAGCAGTTGCTCTTCCAGCCAGACTGAAAATGTAATGGCCTTAATCTCAACTCACTTGTTTAAACATTAACCAAAAGCAGCTTTCTCCTCCTCAAAAGTTTGAAGTGCTGACATGAACTTAACCACGGATAGAGACAACCCCTCAAAGGCCTTCTAAAACTTGTTGAGTATTATATAAAGTAGAAGCTTCAGTAGCATTTCAAGGAATTGGTTATTCTCACAGCAACCTAGCGAGGCATAAAAGCATACCCTGTGTTACAGCTTTGTCATCTGAGGATGCGATCTTTGGTGACTGCCTCCTGACCTTGGAGATGGTTGCAGAGCTTAGAGTTATGAATAGGAAGCAGTCCCGTAGTTACAGTGCTGGGTAACAGCCTTCTGATGCGCTTTCTAAATAGATGAGGAAGAGCTCAAAATAGGCTAAAAAGAGGATGCAAGCATCTTTTGAAGACCTTTTCCAGGCTCTCAAATGGCCGTTGTCAAAAAACAAACAGTGGAGTGGATTTGACTAGGCATCAGAAGAATCTAGAACAGCCCCAGCGACAAGTGAGCGTTTTTTAAGCTCACAAGGCAGAAGAGAACTCCTCAGAGCAGTCCTTGTCACACACAGAACTTGTCACACACAGCTCTGATGTGTAGGCTTTCTCAGCTGCTTCGAGTAGGGGTGAAGAGGCATGCAGATTTTAACCCTTTGTTTCCAAGTCAGCGTGTTAAGTAAATGCTGCTTTACAGTTGGGTGGAGAAGGTCTTCCTCAAGATTTATCAAGAGTCAGAATGAAAACCCATCAATTACTTGTTTGTTGTGCAAAATGGAAAATTTCTCCTCTTGTGTACTTTGTTTGTTTTGTCCAATCCCAATAGCGCTTTATTTAAAAATATTTGTAATAGTTCAGTTAATTTGAGTTTAATGGGCAGAATCAGATGGATCTTAATTTGAATTGAAACTTTCTCTACTTTCTACCATCAGTAAACTGCATTTCAGTGTCTTCTATTATTTAAACATAATGAATCTATTATTTATTTCAAGTGGTTAACTTGAACTTTTGCAAGCACGTTGGCACTGGTGTGCATTATCATTTTCTAGGGGCAGTACCTACCCCGATGTGGCTCTGTCTCTTCTCCGTGCCCCTGACCGGTACTTAGGGTACCATCTGTAGACCACTTGTGCAATAGCTTCATTCTGGTAATTACCACGCTTGTTTGAGGTTATAAAATATACATCTGACAAAAGCCAGGGATTTCCCCCTGAATATCAACTGGCTGCCTAAAGTGGCATTTTCATTCTGACTTGGTGTTTTGTTTTGTCTTACTGCAGCATATTGGGGCAAAATGAAAGAGTTTATTTTGAGGCCTCCGAAGTAGTGCTGCTACAGACCATGAGGAAGAGAGAAAGTGTGGACTTCAGCCTGCACGAGTGGTCTTGAAACACAAGTGGTTTGGGGTAAGTCATCTGAGGGACCGGGCATTCATTAGCCTTAAATTTCGTCAGTCATTTATTTGGTGCCCCAGGACATCTTATTCAAGCGAGTGGCTATTTCTCTACAAACCAGGCAATAGGATGTTAGAGAAAACGTTGCTCTAGTGATGGAGAGCCACTAAATTTACTTAGTTGCATTTGTTTCTCACTTGTGCAGGATAATAGGATCTGAGTAGGATGCATTTGTCATTAGAAAAAGACCAAAAAGAGAAAAAACACCCAAACAACTAAGCACACAAACAACTAACTACATTTCTAGATACTTGGTTTGAGCTGAGAGCCTGAGGTATTCATCCTGCAAGGGGCAGCAAGTTCGATCTGGTGGCGCGTTGGTGATCGGGTAGTGAAGTATCGGGGTGGGCAAAGGTGAGAGGCACAAACTGAGAGTTTCTGAGTCCTATTCAGCAAATGTTTATTGAGTCCCTTTTAACAAAACGCGGTACCCAGAATGAAAGTCTTGCTTTGGAGTGAAATTTACATGTTCCAAACTATAAATAAACAATTCTACACTGCACAGCACAATAATGTGGACTTCCAAGAAAGCTTTGTCGGCCTAGCTCATTGTATTTTTTGGAAACAAAAGTCCTCAGATGGAAGTCCAATTCTGCCCACCTATTCTGGTGACCTCAGACAACTTACTCATCCTCTTGGAATGAGTCACCTCTAAAAACACCAGGACATGCCTCTATCACCATGGTCATACGCAAATTTAAAATTCAACAGTCCACTCTAGTGAAAGTCATTAAATAATGAATTTGATTTTTGCTCAACAGAGTTTCTTGCGTGCCCCTGGCTGGTGGTCATTTGCAGAAGGGCTTATTCAATTACCCAGCATGGAGGAAAGGGTCAGGCAGCTGGAGTCCCTTTGGCCTGCTGGCACCGGTCTTATGAGCCAGCCCTTTGGTCAAGCAGGCCTTGCACTGTGTTGTCGATCACCTGTTCCTTGTAGCAGTGTGATATGAATATAGTATTTATATATATGAGATGGGCTTATTTTGAATTACTGCCCTTTCTTTTTCTATCGGTGACCTTTTTCCTTCTGTGTTTGCTCTCACTGTGTTAGGGGTTACCTGCCAGACCGTGAGCCCCATAGAGCCCCAAACCTTGTCTTACACTGATCATCACTTATTTTCCTTTCTTACTAAACATCCATTTTCTGAAGCAGTGCTGTGAATGGCACTTTAAATGATGCTCAGATGTCACTCTTGTTAGCAGTGGGCTGTTTGCCTCAGAGTGCTGCATTATTTGGGTTTCATAACAGCATTTTTTTCTCTTACAAATGTTAAATTATGAAGTGCAGGAAACCACATGAATGTGGCAGAATGAAAATGCAAATGGTGTTATCTGGAAATGCCAGTTTTCTGATCCTCCTGGTAACACTATCCTCCTTGCAGTCAACGCCTGGAGCCTCTCTGCCTGTTCATAGTGGGCTTCTCTCCGGTGTCTTCATCTTCCCTTACGCTGTACGGTGTAGTCACCCTGTCACACCGAGTCAGGAGGTCTGGTAAGATGATTGCAGGAGGCTGTCTCTGCCTATCCAGGTTCTCTCTGTCCACTAAGCCTGCCTCTCGTTCGCAAAGTCTTTCCTGAATGCTCAAGACTTCACTGCCCCCCCTTTCCTGATGAACTCCCATAACGTATGGAGCCGGCATCATAAAAGGGTATATGGCTCTGCATTGCTTTATGGGTGGTTGGCATCACTTTGTCTGGGTTGCAGACGGCTGGAGGGCAGGAATCTGATCATTGCCTGGTGTTTCTCAAAAGTGGTCTCGCTCCAGGTCCTCTTGATCAGAATCACCTGGGTGTATGTATTAAAGTTGCAGATTCAGCAGCACCGGGCTTGATGAGTCAGTCACCGGGGATGTTGAGCCCAAGAAACTTACCGACCACAGATATCTCTTCTGCACACTGAGGTTTGCTTAACAACTGTCTGAGTCTGCTTCTTCACCCTCCTCATTGCCTCCCCACCCACAGCATTGGGCCTAGGTCTCAGCACGTTCTAGGTGCCTAGGAAATACTTCCTTGTTGATCTGAGCAGCATCTAACCATGGTGGTTGTATTCACTCTTCAGTTGTCTCACCTTTCATTTAGATGTGGAGCCAGCATATTCTCTGAACCCTTAAAAACCCCATCTTGTCTAAATATGTGCTGTTACCCCAGGTCCAAGACTCTTTCATGTCTCGTTCTCTTTGACAACTGTCTTCAACAATGGCGCAGTCCATGCCTAAGGCCCATAGAGCAGGAAGAGCAGGTACGAGAGCTTGTCTGGAGCAGCAGGACAGGAGACAGATCTGAGGGTGGGGGCAGCGCTGTGGTAACCTAGAAGCTCTATCCTTGGCTCCCAAAGCCACACCTGCTGCCCTTGGCGGATCGTTTGAATGATACTTCTTTCAGCTGTTAGGGTTCACAGGTGGTCAATTTTGGTGGCAGCCGAGCGGTTCCATTGCAGAAAGGGATAAAGTTAAGCTGCACCGGGCACACATCAAAGCACCCATGGGGCAGTGGCAGATTCAGGATTTGACCCTGATGTTAGCAGGCTGCAGTGGTGACACGTGGCTCCCTCCCCCCTCCTCCACCAAGGGCAAGCCTGGCAGATTTGCAGGGCGTTGCTGCCTCTGGTGCAACTCCTGAATGCTCTTGCTGGTGGGCGCAGCCCTGGTAGTAGATACGACAGTTAGTTCAAGGTAGAAAGCAAAGAGAAGAACTCACAGAAACCTAGCCAGCCTATAAAGGACCAAGTGGGGTAATCCTGCAGTTTATCAGCTTTGGAGGTAACCATGGCCAAATGCATTTGACCTTATTTTTGCGACTTTTTTTTGACTCGTGCTTCTCAACAGTTTTACTTAGAGCAGCTGTGCCGATCCTCAATCAAGTGTGAGGTGAAAAGCACATTTATTCAGTGACAGGAAAGCATTTTCTGGGTCTGTATCGAATTTTGACCATCGGAGGTAGCAGAAAGGTGTAACTGAATGAATTGGGGATGAGCTTTTCCTTATGTTCTCAGCTATGGGAAGGAAAAATTGCACAGTTCTCAGGGCAGTGTTTAAGGGCAAAAGAGGCTTTTTAGTATGTGCTTCATGGAGTCCTGACTAGGTTTTCCTCTGCATGGCTTTTTCCAGTCAGGTGGGTGGGCAGAGGGCTGTGTGTGACGCAGGAGGCAGGTGCCCGGGCTAGCCGCTGTGGGAGAGAAAGGTACAGTTGTTTCTTTTACTTTTTTTATTGTTGTTCCATTACGGGTGTCTGCATTTCGCCCCCCACTCCTCCCCACTGTACCCCAGCTAATACCACCTCCCTTGGGTACAGTTATTGATATGTGTCTTTGAGGCTTTGTTAAGGCTTTAAGGTAGAGGAATAACGAGGGACAAAATTAAAGAAATTAGAAAGCACATAATTTTAGCAAAATACCAGATGCTGGCATTGCTTTTCTGGAGGTCTTTAGCCGTGTATGGAATGTTTTCTTAGAAGTAGCCATCCGTGGTTGGCAGAGAGAAAAATCGGCTCTAAGAGAGCATTTGTCTGGTTAGAAATATTGTCCCTGGTGCTGTTTACCATGAGGCATCCTTGAGAACTGCAGGGTTTTCTAATAGTCACCAAAATCATTGGCACTGTTTTTGGAAGGCAGATATGAATGAGAAAAGAGCCAGTCCTGTATTTTCCAGGAAGACCATCATTAGAAAGCTCTTTAAGTGCTTTCTAGCTTAGAGGAGTCAGATGCCTATCACGTACCTGAGCCTGTCTTCCGTAAAGCGGCACCGAGCATTGCCTTCTGTGAAATGCGTTATAACTCGCTCTTCTTGCTGATGCTATCACGGGCTAATAATTGCATCAGTCCTTCAGAGGAGCTGTGCGGTTTGGTGTAACTGTGAGTAAAACCACACTGGCTCAGGAAATGCAGCTCATTGTCTTAGAACAGGCATCATCAAAACAGATGTTGATTTACTTGGAAGGTACCTTTCCTTGGCGACAACTTGAGCTCTTTGAAGGGAGGTGATCACTGTGCATCAAAGTAAATTAGAATTACGCCACTGCTTTTGTACACTGAGTGAAAACTGAAAGAAACTCACCAGTGTTGGCTACTGAACATGCTGTCCCCTAAGGCATCATTACATCACTGCATCGTTACCAGTTCTGCTCTAGGGACTAACTTGCTCTCTCTTTCTCTTCTGAGTTAAGATCACCGGCTTCCAACTCCCCCGCCCCCCAGAAAGGCTTTAGTTGGTTATCATATAGGTGCCTTGAACTTGGGGCCAGCTTTACGCTGTCACTCTCCTGTCTCCCTTTCCAGGTCCCTTATTTACAGAAATGGGATCAGCCGGACACCATCTTCTTTTCCTGTGTAGTTGGTCCCCTGACCCCATGTTGTGGTTTTACCTGTCAAATACTTTTTTCTACTCACTCTTCTTCCACCCCTTGCCCTTGTTCTGTTTCAGTCCATTAGATCACTTTCTTGGACTAGTGCAGCCACTTTCAAAAGAAGCTGCTTGCTTGACGCCTTTCCTTCCTGTGTTCCAGTCATCCTACTGTCTTGAGAATTATTTTCCTAAAGGAAGGGTGTGGTTGAATTATTACCAATTCCTGAAAACCTTCTTAGCACATGGAGGTATGGAAAAGTGTTTCTAATACAATGCTTAGTGTAAAACCCAGACTTCAAAATTGCATGTATACATCGAGTACAAAGCGACAGTGGAAATGTGTGCCTGTCAACAATGGCTAGAAGTAAATAAAGCAAAAACGAAGATGTTTGTAGTATTAGAGTAATTAGTACTTCTTTTAAAAAAATTATAATACACAATTGGTATTTTCCATAGTCATGAATGAGGAAGATGAAGTGAAAGGAAAAATGGAAAGGATTTAGTTAGATTTCCCTTCTCTGTGATGTCTGATGTAATCTTCATTGCCTGGTCGCATTCAAGACCCTGAATTCATTATCCGCTTACCATTGAAATCTCACCTCCCGCCCCTCC